GACCCACCTGGGAAAACACTTGCAGTCCAGAGGGGAGCAAATGACAGGAAAATATCTTCTAACAGAGCAAGAAGGCAAGCAGCTGTAACCCAAGACCACCAGTAAGGTGATAAAGCGTCCTCCCTTCCCGCCTTTACATCTACACCCCTGTTCAGCATGAAGAAGCCAGAGAGTTGGCATCCAATTCCAAAATCAATAAGATAGTTGGTTTAATTACTATTGGAAAATGCTTGTCATTCCTCTGTATCATCTGGTCCCCGCTGGACCCTCATCATTTCCTTCACCTGTTCCCCCCACCGACCAAACTGTGCAGCTCTGCAACTGCATCCTGGCCCATCCTCACCCTTCTGCCCCCAACCCTCACCTCCTTGTACCCCCAATGTTTTTTTCCCAATAAAATAAAACAAAAAACAACAAAACAAAACAAAACAAAACAAAGGCAAAATTTTGTTTGGACTGAGCTAGTGACACACAGAGCAGGCCAGCTCTGCCGCTAAGCTGACCTGCCAATGTATGCAAAGGCACCAGGTGTGCTGGGAAGCCTTCCGGTCAGCACTGCTGCTCACCGGGGAACTGAGATTTTGGGGCAACGTACAGGCAGAAGCTACAGCAGTAAGAAGGAACCGTCCCATGTCTGATACACGGTGGTCCCTGCGCTGTGGGAGCGGATGTGCTTGGTGAGGTGGGAGGACAAGCTGAAGGACTCCCCACACTCCTCACACTCGTGAGGCCTCTCACCACTGTGAACATGCATGTGAGCAGTGAGGGCTGGGAAGTTGTGGAACATCCCGCCACAGGCGCCGCACTGACAAGGCGTCTCCCCCTTTTGACAGTTGGCGTGTCTGGTGAGGTTGTATAGCTGACTGAATGCCCGCCCTCACTGCTCACACTCATAGGGCTTCTCCCCCCAGTGAGTCTTGATGTGGGTGGAGAGGGCCGAGGAGTCACTAAAGGCCTTGCCACACTCCGTACATTCATAGGGCTTCTCCTTAGTGTGAGAGATGTGGTGTCTGCTGAGGTGTGAGGACAGACTGAAGGCCTTCCCACAGTACTCACAGCCGTATGGCCTCTCTCCACCGTGGATTCTGATGTGTGTGGTGAGGGCAGATGCGTGGCTGAAGGCGCACCCGCACTCCTTACAGGCATAGGGCCTCTCTCCAGTGTGGGTCCTAATGTGGGTGATGAGGGACGAGGCGTAGCTAAAGGCCTTCCCACAGCCCTTACAGAGTAAGGCTTCTCCCCACTGTGGGTTCGCACATGGTCATTGAGGGAGGACGCATGACTGAAGGCCTTCCCACACTCGCTGCACTCGTAAGGCTTCTCTCCACTGTTGATTCTTATATGGCTGTTAAAGTTTGAGGAAGACCGAAGGGCTTTCCCACACTCCTTACACTCATAGGGTCTCTGTCCATTGTAGGCAATCTTGTGTCTACTGAAATTGGAGGCCTGACTGAAGGCCCTCCCACAGATCGTACATTCGTAGGGCTTCTCCCCACTGTGTGTTCTAATGTGTGTGGTCAGGGCTGAGGAGTCGTTAAAGGCTTTCCTACACTCCTTACACTCATAGGGCCTCTCACCACTGTGTGTACTGATGTGCCTGGCCAGGTGGGAGGACAGAGAGAAGCACTTCCCACACTCCTGACACTCGTAAGGCCTCTCTCCACTGTGGCTCTTCATGTGCCGAGTGAGTGAGGAGATCTGCCTTTGCCACACTCATCACACTCATACGGCCTGTCCCTACTGTGACAGCTGACGTGCCTAGTGAGCTGGGAGCCCTGGCAGAAGGCCTTCCCACACTCCTTACAGACGTAAGGCTTGACATCACTGTGGTTCTGCATATGCTTGTTGAGGTCAGACGCCTCAGTAAAGGCTTTCCCGCGCTCCTTACATAAGTAAGACATCCTCTCCTTTAAAACGTATGTGAGGGAGGGAGGAAAGATGAGGGGCTTACAAGATAGTCTAGTTACCCTATGACCTTCCTTGCACTTGTGCCCAAAGGGATTAGAAATTACAGACTAGACCTCATTCATGGGCGCTGCTGGACAAAGGCTTCCCAACATGCCCAACAGCTGAGATGTCTTACTCTGAAGAGAACTCCTAGGTGTGCTTTGGGGAGAGTGACCCAATGGAGTCTCCCCAATCCTCACCCAGGTGGGTTCTGCACCTGGTGTGAGGCCTACATGGTGAGTGACCCAGGAAGGCCTTTCCCATAGTGACTGCTGGAATCTGGTGACTGCCTTCTTCACTTCCACCGACGCTTTTCACTGTCCTGTATGATTTCTCAGAGCTCACCTCTGGCTGTTCTGCGAATCTCTTCAGTCATGGGACGCACAAATTTCTCCTCTTCCTCATTACAGCTTCTGTAAATCTAAGGGGATGTCATCTCTGAGCCCAAGAGTCCACTTCAGAGAGGCAGACAGGAGCAGAGGTGGAGCACTGGGCAGTCTGGAAGTAGATCCCGGCCTCACAACAGCTGCAGTCCTTCCTTGTGACATCAACAGGCAACACAGACTGGCTTCTCCGCAGCACCCGGCTGACCTGGGAACGCAGACCTGGGCCGCCTCGGCCACTCTGTGCCCAAAGCGGCGGCAGCCGGCGGGCGTGTGGCTCGCTGGACTCCGCGGCGGGAACCGAATCACCTTTCTTTGGAACGGGAACAAAGACCAATCTTTTCCAGTCAGTTGGCCAGCTAGCTCTCCTCCAGATTTATTGGCACAACTTAGTGAGCCCATCCAGGGCAGCGTTTGTTTGTTGAAATATGTCAATTGGTATGTCATCAACTTCTGGAGCCTTGTTTTTTTGCCAATTCCTTCAGAGCAACTTGAACGTCCTCCTTTATCACCATAGGCTCTTGCTCATATGTTATTTCATGAAATTCTTCTGTGTCAGCCAATTCTTGCTGATACAGTGACTCTGTGTACTCCTTCCATCTTCTTTTAATGCTTTCTGGATCATTTAACATTCTACCCAAAATATCCTTAAGTATTGACACATGTGGCTTGACTTTATTTTTCAACTCCTTCAGCTTAGGAAATGCTGAGTGAGTTCGGCCATTTTGATTTTCTGACTCCAGCTCTCTGCCTATTTCTTTATAGTATTTTGCCTTGCCATCCGGAGCTGCCTTTTGAAATTTTCTGTTCAGCTCTTTGATTTCTTGGTTTCTTCCTTTAGCTTTGGCTTCTTGGCTCTCTCATGCAATATTAGGAGTCTCGTCTGACATCCATCTTGGTCTTTTCTTCTTCTTCCCAAAATGCATGTCAGAAGACACTGTGAAGATTGCATTAGAGTGCTGAGAAGCCAAAACAAGAGTAAGAGATGTGGAAGAGCTGAACAGAAGTGTTCAAAGGACAGCTCGAGAGGATAAAGCAAAATATGACAAAATATGCAAAGATCTGGAGTCAGAAAAGAAAAAGTGAAGCACTCACTCAGTATTTCTCAAGCGGAAAGAAATAAAAAACATATTCAAGCGTCGAATTGCAAAACTGAAAGATGTAATGGAAACAATAATTTAAAAACATGTTATTGATGCAATCTTGAATGATTGAGAAAGCAACAAAAGAAGATGGAATACGCAAAGTCTCAAAAATAGTCGATTGCCAAAAAAAGTTTCAGAAAGTACCATATGAATAAGAGCCAAGGGTGAAGGGATTTCAAGCAGCACTGAAGGCATTGGTAAAAAATAAGGCCCCAGGAATCAACAGACATGTTTGAACTAACAGATACAGCCCTGGATGTGCTCACCAGTGTATGCCAGGAAATTTGGAAGATGGCTACCTGGCCAACTGGAAGAGGGTCCTTAAGTACTGCACAGTCAATGCATTCCCCTGCTAATCAGAAGACTGAAGGTTCAAAGCCACCCAGGGTGACTTGGAAGACAAGCTGAAAAAACTCAACCATTAAAAATCCCAATAACCCCAGTTCTATCCTTACACACAGGGAGTTACCAAGAAGCAGAGCTGTTAATAGCTTATTAGCATAATAATAACAGTTTTGAAGATTGACCTCTTGAACTTAAATTCTGGCTACTACTTGTGAGATCTTGAGCAAATCTCCTGTGACCCCTCTCCTTACCACCAAAAAAGAATACTAAAAATTAGACAATGACTAAGACTGACAGAAAAAGAATCAACGCATTTGAGATATGGTGATTGAGAAGGGTACTAAATATCCCATGGGATGCCAAAATAGCAAACAGATATGTCTTGGGAAAAAGTGCAACCACGGTGTTCCTTGGAGGCAAGGATGGTGAAATTTCATCTCACATATATTGGGCATGTTAGGGGGGGCCAGTCCTTGGAAAAAGATATCATGCTGGGAAAGGTACAGGTTCAATGAAAGAGGACTCTCAATGAGATAGGACTCTCAATGACGCAACTGCTGTTGTTAGGTGTGGTCAAGTTGAGTATGACTCATAGTGACCCCATGAACAGCAGTGATAACCTGACAATATGAACAATAACACTTACCTTCTGTAAGTACCTTTAAAGTGCCCAGAATACCACCAGGAGCATATTTAATATGTTCATGGAGACCCTATTGCTATAAAATCTGTGATTTTCACTTTAAAAAATTATTAAATTTTATTAGTTTTAATGAACATTTACAGAGATTTTGGGTTCTCATTCATTCATTGTTGCACTGTTTTCTCTACCCTCCTCCCCAGTTTGTTCTTCTCCCCCCCACCCCAATCAATGTCTGTTTTAATTGTCCAATTGCCACAGTG